AAAAGTGGCCATACAGCACCTGCTAAGGACCTTAATATTCTTTCATGCTGGGCGTATTGACCCTGTACGCCTTGTCGATTTATCGTGGCTTTTGCCTTCAACGATTGTCCGGGGCAATAAGAAAGACTTTCTGACATGCTTTGTATGCAGGGTACAGCATCGTTGCGTGAAACACATAGGGGAGTTTTTTTTTTCTCTGTGAATGGAGGGGTCGTAATTGATCGCTGGGAGAGAGAGGGGGAGGGATCGTATGTGCCTTCAAGGAAAATTTGTCCCCCCCCCCTCGACAGCAAAATGTTAGGGGAAAAAGTAAGAAAATTTTCAGGAAGTTTAGAAAAATGTAGGAAATTGGGGAAATTAATCCCGTTTCACACTGGCTATATACCCCCTCTCCACCCCCGTTCGATGGAGAATTTTTGGGTGAAAAACTGGAAAATGGGGGAAATTTGTAGGTAGGTGTTGGGGAAGGGGGGGGTCGTACCGAGACCCTCATTTAGGTGGGGGGGTCGTACCTACACCACCACCTCACACATCACGATGCTGTACCCTGTTTGTATATTGCCTAGAACTTTGTCCGCAAGAATCCTAATGAAGGGGTGAATGCGTAATGTGGACAATCAGTTCAGAGACTGACTCCCTTAACCTATGTACCCTTACAGTTAGAATCGGCCAAACCGACGTGCCTGGTCTCATAGTGCTTCACCATAAAGTTGGCTGTCAGGGTTGAGCCACAAAAAATAAATCTTGCACCGTAGCGACGTTGTCCGAAGGCTGTAGGGTTAGCTTCTTCCACCAGTATAGCGACACTCTCTAGGCCAGGATCACGCAAAAGTCTTTGAAGGAACGATCTCCCTGGAACGTCCAGTATATCTGGAGGAATCACACGTCAATGATCCCCGAACTTCACACGCAGATTGTTGTCCGCTTCGTTGCTTCCGAAATTGCGTCATTCCAATTTGATTAATAAAGAGAACAGAACTCGTCCAAAATGGAACATCATGTGAATCAATCCTCGAAAAACCTTCCATGACAATGAATTCTTCAGTTGTGAATTGATGATTCCATCAAAATCCTGTTGTTCAACAACTGCTACGTACGTCGAAGCTCTCAGCTCAAACACTCTCATGACGACGTTCATATCCCATGCGGAAATCTCTCTCATTCGAAACGAGATATTCCTTTCAGCGCGATCTTCTTACTGCTGCTCACCGTACACCACAAATGCTGCCAATGTTTGCAAAACGTTACGGTGATAAAATGAGCGATAGCTTTTTGCGTTACAGTAAACAGCATGAGAAGCGGAACACGAACAAGAACCCTTTTGGAGCTCCTGACAATACGTCGCTGGAACGGCGCGACATTTGGAATGCGCGGCAAACATGTTTTCGCTCTCATTCCATGGCAACATCTTCCTTCCACGCGATAAATCCCCAAGACGTGTAGAGTTACTGTGCTTAAAAAGGTTGAATTTCAGCGCCGCTGATCAGGCGCTGCGTTGCGCCTTCTCTAAGGGGCCCTTATAGCGCCCTCTCAAGCTGCAGCATACCGACCTGGTGCGCCACGCGCCCGCTCAGTTGCACAAATGGTACGCGCTTACCTGCGATTGCTCCGTATCGCTCATTTAGGCGCTAAGCTACAACATGAAGCCGAAGACATTATTGATTAAAGCGCGCTGACCTGCTGTATGCATAAATGAGTTACATATGTGCAGCCAATATTTACCAGTACGATTATTGGCACGATTGCCAACGGCCGAAAACTCGTGCCGAAATCTGTTACTATCGTTGCTAACTTTGTTTGCTAGACTTTTTTGAGGCATCTTTTTGCTTTTTTTGCTTTTTTTGTTTTTTGACCGGTTCTAACTTCGCTTTGCCATTTACTGCCTAGCGCCCCTACCATTCTAAACTGAGCACCAAATTATCGTGCCTTACGCCTTCAAAAATGATGTGTGGGTTCCACTTCTAGCATGATCGGCTCATGAAAGAGTGATATTAATCAGCAAGTCACATGTCCTCTACGGCGGAATCGTCAGTAGTTGTTACGTTTTTTTTTAAAAACAGCTCCATTTACTAGCGTTTCAACTAACCTTTTCTCCAAATTCGCATCTCATCCCATACATTCTCGTCCAACTGAATACTTGAGCATGCATGTTCGGTGGGTGCTATAAGGCAATGTTGTTCGTGCAAACCATCCCACTCAACAACCGCCAAGTAGGTCTGTAAAAAACCGAAACGCTTCATTATTCTGACTAACTTCTCCAGACCAATAGTCGAACAGCAACAGAAAATTGAATGGCCTTGGGGCATCTACTGTATCACTGGGGTATACAAATTATTTCCAGCGTTGTTTGACCACTATCGCAATCAATGGTGGCTTTCTCTCACAAATGCTGTCTAGGAGTGGATTTGCTTGAAATTTCATCCCAGGATGTTGTTAGAGCGACTGCGCATTATTATCTCAGATCCGCATACGGCCAAAACGCCCTGCGAGAGGTGAGGGCGCCGGCGCCGAAACTTACTTGAAGGCAGACCCCGCGCTCAACCTTTGCGTGGGATTCCTCAACTGTCCAAGTAGTCCGGTCTTTGATCTTAGAAAATTCCAGTTTTCACAGTTCCTTAATCTGTGACGACGGTGCTATGCCCCTCGAAAGCGAAAGGTGTACACGTGCCTTACCCATCGAGGACCATATAGGGTGTAATGGTAGACCTGCAAACAAACACAGGTGCAGGTGTGCCTGCAAACCCAGGTGCTACTCATCCTGTATGGGACCACGCCACGGTTCCCGCCTTCTTCCAATTAGCCCTTCGATGCGGAGTGTAAGCCATTCTGCTTCCCTTGAATGTCTTTTTCGAAAACGGCCACACGCTGTGAAAGCAATACATTTCACTAAATGGGATTCGTTTTGACGCTGTTTCAATTCACGGGCGATGCAAATGCACTGGTGCAATATTTCGTTGAATTACGGTAAACCCAACCATCATTTCTACACCATTTATTCGCTCTTTTTTGAGTCTTGTATGACATTCAGTGGGGGAGGATGGAAAGAAAAAACTGTGTGTGAGGGGATGCACAGTGTTGGTGATAGCATGGATTCTCTGACATGAAATCAGCATATCTGGAAAACTCGTCCAGTCAAGAGAGCCTTGTTCTGCGTTTTCGGCTGTTTCCTTCGTTTTTTTTTCCACTGACAAATTACTTCCCATCCACGCTTCAACTTCTGAAGTGCGCAACCAACGGCTGGCAATCATGGGGATTGTTTTTAAGTTGAATTCAACGTTTCTAACGTAAGAGTGAGCATTCAGAAGTGTCATAAATACTTCCGGGAGACACCAGAATTTCGGACCCGAATCCTAACGAGAAAATTCGACAAATGCTAGTCCGTATTCCAATACTTTGGCAATAATATTTGAATTTAGGCTGAAGTGAAGAGTTAGTGTGAGTGGCCTCTAACCCTCGGACCGCGAGAGCTCGTTTACCTAACCAGGAATTCCACCGTGCTTCGGTTTAACAAAGCCTTACATGCCATGCTCCCATCATGCATACCAGGAGATGCAGCTGTATTGTGGCAAGATTCATGAACTAGAGTTGAATTAACCGGAGCAACGTCCCCCTCTTCCCTTCCACCCCGCTTTTCCACCATGACGGAGTGGCTTGACCAGCGCCAGACGTGTCGAGTCCAAATACCACTGTAAACATAAGATAGCAATCTGCACAGAGCGAAGAAAGGTCGCAAATCATTCAGCATGCTTACACATATTTTATCGGAAAAAGCTGATTTGAACAGAGATGACGGGCCATCGGATACCCTCAATCTCAGCGACTAAAAAAGAAACCTGCCCCTCGCTTCCATAATGAGCTTTTTAATGCAACAAAATAATGACGGCAATTTTTGAACGATAGTATTCATATTCCTCCCAAGTTCGAAATAAATTTCTGAATATATATGGCGCTTTCTGAAAGGACTGATCGGCAGGCTAACATTTTGTCTTCTTCATATTGCAACACTTAAACTTGCTTGAAGCAGCCACTACTTGAAAGTAGTCCCTGGTCTTTCTTTATAGGCTTATATTTGTTCTCGCATTGAACGACGGTCTTCAAGGACTTCAGGACTCTAACTTGCATTACGAAACTAAGTAAAACCATGCAAAGTATGGGGTGGAATTTGGAATGTCCCGCTAAATCAGCTTTCACGGAACTTGATTCTAAGCCAGACGGAATGCCATTAGAAGCATTCCATCCAAGCGATCAAAACTGGAATTTGCCCCGTGCGCAGGTTATATGATTATAATGCCTAGATGATGGCTATGGCTTTTCTGGGCTATGGATAATCTCAACCGCTTGATCGAGTACGTTATGTGTCTCGGAGGTATTCTACGGTACGTCCTCAGTAAAACGCTACAGAGTGAAGTGGCCTATTTGGCGTGGAGAGCACTAGTTCACAAGGTAACATGGGTCGCAAAAAAAAAAAACGAACATGGCATATGATAAGTTGGCAGAACGCTTACTCCTCTTTCAAGACACAGCCCTATCACACCGGACGCACAGATCACTGGGGAGGATGGTGGCCAATAAGAAGGGCATGCTTTGATCGACAAACGGCCTTCCGGACCCCACGATTCGGACGGGCTTTCGCGAAGAAGTGGTGTTGTTAGCAGATGAAAATGAATGTTGAGGGAGAACCAATCCCCAAGGTAAAGTAATCGTTCTATATCGCCTGTCGGTGCCACGTTGGGGTACAACCTTGTAGATGAGCGAACATTGCAGTAATGCAAGATACATAAAAAATTCTTTGCCAAAAGCGGATGTCTTGAAGGCGCACTCCTTGGTTAATGTGGACCTGTAAAGCCCCCAAGGCTTTAGTTCTGGGCAACCAGCAAAGATAGTACCCTTTCCGTGCTGCGAAAACGCGGGAAGTGATTCTCAACATTGTCACTTATGGGTGAATGAGCCCCATGTCGACATGCTGCTCATGTATAGGTTGGCCGATAAGTAATGGCCGTTTTTTTTCATCGAAAAATTTGTTCTAAAGGTGAACTGTTTTGCAAGCAAGCTTAATATCGTTTAATAGCAAACTTCTCGTAGTATTAGAATATCAAAACAGCTTCGGTTGAGGGAAGAGTTTTTGTGGATTTTTCAGTCGTTGAAGTTGAAAGTCATTGATTGAAAGTGAAGTCGGCGAAAATTAGCACCTTCGACAACTGCCTCTATTTACGTTTACTTGAAGTGCTAAAATCGCTTAAGCTGCTCCATACTTTTGGGAAAGGTTGAGCTAGAAGTCTCAGCAAGGGAATCTCAATAGGACGCTTTGGAACTAATTTCAAGAATTTCAAAGTTGGCAACCTTCACCTTGCCAATATTGGGCAGGCTCACGTCTGTTCCACCTGAAATTTCATGCTAATAGTTGAATTAATTGAATTTGAATTTGATTCTAATACTACGAGAAGTTTGCTATTAAACGATATTAAGCTTGCTTGCAAAACTTTACTTTTGAAACAAATTTTTCGATTGAAAAAAACGGCCATTACTTATTAGCCAGCCCACTGCTAGTGGGCTGGCTAATAACTGCTAGTGGGCTGGCTAATAAGTAATGGCCGTTTTTTTCAATCGAAAAATTTGTTCTAAAGGTGAACTGTTTTGCAAGCAAGCTTAATATCGTTTAATAGCAAACTTCTCGTAGTATTAGAATATCAAATAGTTGTCGAAGTGCTAATTTTCGCCGACTTCACTTTCAACTTCAACGACTGAAAAATCCACAAAAACTCTTCCCTCAACCGAAGCTGTTTTGATATTCTAATACTACGAGAAGTTTGCTATTAAACGATATTAAAGGCACATTCCGCGATAAAATAAGGCTATGACCTCTCAAATGTGTCGGACGATCCGGAAGGCGATTTTGAGGCTGCGCTACTTTCAAAATGTGAAAAACGGCAAGAACTCCGCTAGAAGCTGACTAATTAGGCCCATGGACACCCCTTAGGCCCATGCCGACCCTCACCGGCTGCTAGCTACTAGCTAGTAGCCACTATGCTTATCTTTCTCTATAACATTTCGGACTGCTTTTTCTACTGCTTTTCTCCGCTAATAGAGATACTTAGCACTTTTTTGTGCCTATTTGAGTTCCGTTTCCCGCAATTTGCGGTCGCGAACTGTGCCTTTAAGCTTGCCACTTGCCAATAACAGTTCACATTTTGGAGCAAATTGTTTCAATTGAAAAAACGGCTCATGGAGCTTATCGGGCGACCTAAACATTTATCAATCTGGTCACGGACAATTAGAATTTGCAATGTGGCGGCCAACTTCTCTGTTTTTTCTCTGCGCTCTCATGTCTTGCATGGCATTTTTGTGACGCAACAATTGATGCCTTCAACGTTCTAACTTTTCACGCATAAGAAGTGGTTCATTCACTCCAGTGTTCTCTTCCTTTGGAAAAAATCATCCCTGGATCGCGACAAGTTTTTTATACTTCTGCGAGTCCAATTGGGCAGCCCACATTCCTTTATTCACTACACTTGGCAACGGCAACGCATTGCAACAGGACCCCTAACAAAAGTTAAGTTGTCACGTACGTACAGTTAGTTTAGGAATTTAGTACAGTACAGTCATAATACAAGTTCTCTCGCTAGCTTCTCGCCCGCACGCGAAGCATTTCTTCCCATTCTCGTCCAATACTCGAGGTTAAACGGCCCTCTTTGAAGAGCTTCGCAACTTTTTTTTTTCATCATTCTGTCATCGATCGGCTCCTGTCCTCTCGCCTTGGAACACTATCGCCCACAAGCTGCAATCAACAACCATTCGGCGAAACTCGTCCAGTAGCAAACGCAGACTGACTTCCTCTAAACTCCCGAGATCGTTAACCGTTTGCGCCAATTTGTAATCGGCCGCAGAAACGAAGTAAATGCCCCTTCATGTGACGAAAGTTTCATTTAGAGCCTTTTACAGTGCAAGTCCTGTCTGTGAAAATCGACACCCTTCTTGAAGAGTGTAGCGCAGCGATACACCGTAAAAACTGACGTGCTTGTCATTTAAAGGTAAAGTGGCACGATAAATCGGCAAGGCGTACAGGGTCGATACACTTAGCAAAGATTATTGTGGCCCATAGCAGGCGCTGCGTGGCTGCTTTTCCCAATCGAGGGCACCGTTACAACGCCCAAACGAGGTGCAACATGTTGACCCGAACGCCCATCGCAACCACCCGCCCACAAATGGCCCCACAGTCACTTCGACGCTGAACCTCTTATCGCTTCATTTATCAAGTGATATGAAGCCTTGCTACATGGATTTATGAATATGTACGTACGTGCAGCTGCGTTTTTCCGCTATAATGTAGACCTGAGACGAAAATTTAGGTCAAGTAGCGAATACTGTGGCGCATTGTGCTTAAGGCAACCGATTTACTCGTTTGACATATTGTGCCTATAACTTTTCAACGTAAGGAAATCCAATCCAGATACGTTCAGCGGACTCGGCACAAAACGGTGATAATCCCCAATGTACTTGGAAAAAAAAAAAGGTGACGAATGATACGGTCAAACCAATAGCAAATTTTCAAAGTCCATACGTTTTTTGCCGCACCCAGGATGATAAGTGTCGAGCGACTAATTCGAGTTGAACCGGAACTCATTACCGGTGGAATGCTGCATATAGAGCGGACAAGCTCATGCACTCCAGAAGCTTAAGAGAGGGATTATTGCCTACTTGTCGCTTTTGCTAGAAAACAACACTTCTTCAGCAGCTTCTCTGCCGCTCTATTACGGGAGGGCGGCGGGAGATGGGCAACAAAGAACACACGTCGTCCATGGAGAGCACCCGTAAAATCTTTTTGCAGGAAGTGACGGTGTAGGTGGACACTCTGAGCAGCAGCAGCAGCAGCGGTCTTAACCTATGAATCTTATACGTTTCGTCAACGGAGGTGCCTGGGATTTCAAGGCGCCTTACCTCACATGACACTCAATTCGACTTGCATGACTTCTCGACTGTGCAGAGTCAAAAAAATGAAATTAAATATACCGAATCAATAAAGGCGTATTGCTCGAGTAGCTGAACAAGTGGTGTCTTCTGTAACTGCGGTGACACTATCTAGAAGCCTGTACGCAAAAGTCTCAACTGTGGAAATTACAATGCCTCATTATGCTGATGTGAACACTGTGGGCCTTCCAGGGATCAACAATGGATGGAGCCATCACATAGTCTTAATCGTGAGAGCTAAGGTAGAATGCTTGCTCTTGTGTATAGAGGAACCGCTTTATGTACTTGGTTCACAAGCACTTTGACAGCTTCTGTGAAGTGAATTTTGATGGTGCGCTCGATAAACTACGTGTTTTTGTAAACCCTCCCCCGTAGAGCAAAACCCATTTCTAGTAACAGAAACTAACTTGACACCTTCCGCGACTATCTGCTACGTGGGATCCCTTCATTATGCTGCAATCGCGAGACTGTACCTTTTCCGCGGCTCGAAAGTGAGTGACGAGGGCGTCGAGGCTGTCGTGACCCCTAATATCGCCCCCATAAGCAGCGACGTGACGGATCAACCAGGCCTCACTTCGCGCCCCGGACAGTTTTTCTATGTGTTCTTCTGT